AAGGAATTGTGGCGCAGAAAGTTTCAGAAGAGAAATTTGAAGTTTACCTGCCAGGTATGTCTCTGAATGAAACTATGACTGTTGAAGATATATTTTTTTGCGGGACTAATTGTTGTTGTTTTGTTGGTTTCTCTCAGGCGAAAAGAAAATGTCTGCCTTCCATCGTAGTGATCTTAGACAATCTTTGGAATGGTTGGCAGATGAGTGGGTACACATAGAATCAAGATCTGATCTCGTGAGTTCTGTGCTATCCTTGAAGAAAAAAGAGATCGAGGTGAAGCATGATGAGAAGCCATCTGAAGTTGGTGTTGTTAATGGTGGGATGTCACTGAAGGAGGCTGCTAAACTTAGCTTTGCTCGTCCAGTAGTTAGAACCAGGAAGGCATCCACTAAACGACCAGTTCCAGATCTTCTAAAGGATGTCCTAGTCTCTGATTTAAAGTGGAAAGCATCAAGGAAGCGGAATCGAACTGTTAGTGGCTGTACGCACAATCCTAGCTTGACTGGTGGTTTTTCTTCTGAAAGATCCTTTGATTGTGAGAACTGCAAGTTCATGGGAAATTCTCTGTTTGGCTCTTCGAAGAAGCGGAACCGAATTGTCAGTTGCTGCCCGCACGATCCCAGCTTGAATGATGGATTCTCACGTGAAAAATCCTCGGATTGTGAGAACTGCAAATTCGCGGGAGATTCTCTTTTTGGCTCTTCAGTTGGGCAGCCATTGTCAGGCCTCTTAATGTCAAGATGATGGGGATGGATTGTATTTCTTCTTGTGAGGTACATATTACCTAATGGGCATCTGCTCAATGCGATTTTGGGTTTTTAGATTATTGTGACTTGCAAGGTTTCTTTGGGATTTTTATAGAATTAGCTCGTAATGGCATCCAAATTCGTTTTGTGTATGTATGTGTAACAGTAGGCAATAGAGCTTTTCAATACAGGCAGCAAGTTTTGGATGCAGTAGGAGAAGTAGGTAATAATTGCATTACCTCTGCTAGGGTTTTAGACATTAATCAGTTGGTTTTCTTAGAGTTTTTAAGTTATCTTCTTCGAATGCGATTTGCTTTCTTTCTGTTCTGGTTGGATCTTTCTTTTCATGTAACCTATGTATCATCAAATAAAACTATTTTCTTTCCTGTGTTGATTGATTTAGCCGTTATTATTTTGTGAACTGGATGTTGATGTCTCTCTGAAGTTGCAGGACATATAAATTTACATAAGTTAACTCTGTCTTTGTCCATGCCCCCATAAGGGTTTTGTTTTGTGCAGCATCCAAAAGGGGACCAACAAATGAAATGGATGCTCTTTGGTTGTATAAGTTGTAACTTAGTAGCTGGTAACAATTGATGCTTTTGGGAAACTGGGACCATTAAGGGAATCCAATAAGTTTTGTGAGTACTGATATGACCAGCAATGTTCATAATAACTCATTGAGAGTTTAAGCACTTGTTATAAAAGATGAACTAACTCAATTGTCTTATTTATCTTAAACCTCTTTTTAACTTTACCAAATATCCCTTTTGTGCTATCTATGATTGGCTTACTAAAAAGTAAAGGAGCTTATATTATTATTGTTGAGACTCAGTCAGAACTCAGAAGCAATCCCTCAACTTTGGTGGGGTTTCATTTTGGTGAGTGAAGCATCTTTTTCAAACTATGCAGAGGAAAAAAAAAATGGTGTTGACTTTCTCACTCTGGACATTAAGTCAAGGATCCAAAGCATAGTAGTGTATGTATGTGTTGTTGTGTTAAGATGTCTCTTATGTCATTAAACATGATTTTCTCCATAGATTAAAGCAAAAGAAAAGATGGGTTTCCTCTGTCAGAAGATTTGCTAACTCATCCTTTTCCGATAGGGACACTCTTTGTTTCCCACTCTCTGTCTGTTTGGTGGGTTTATGTAAGGATTCTTGATTCCTGTTTTATTTATCCTTCCATGTCCAAAGAGACTGTCATGGCTTCTCTCTCTGAAATTGAGCTTGGAGCTTCACTAAGAAGCAAACTTTCAAGAACAAGTGAAAGCAGTCTCGCTTCTGTCGCATCCTTATCCATGCCTCTCGTGCGTAGAGCTACTTTTTAATCGCTTTTTTTTTTTTGTCTTAGAATGTTTTTCTTCCGAGGTAATAATCTTGTCTGTTAACAGATTCAGGAGATTGTTATATCTGCAGACATCAGTTGTAGTGATTGCCAAGAGAAAATCGCCGATATAATGTCGAGGATGATCGGTAAGAAAATAGTTCAGTTCTTGACATGAGAGACA